TCTTCTTCCTAGACGTCGGCCGCGGCTTCCTCCTCCAGCAGCGCGGCGAGCTCTTCCTCCTCATCCGAGTCCATCGCCGAGACAGGCAAAACGCCGAACACCTTGCGCTCGGTGGGCGTGTACCCACCGTTAAACCGCGCCTCCGCGGCCAGAAACGGCGGCCAGAAACGCCCAGCTGCTGTGGGAGGGGCTGCCGCGGCGAAGCGCTGCTATTTTCCGGCGAGGAATGGCTATCTAGCGGAGTAGGGAGGCGGCCGTCGCCGGGATATAGCTAGTGGTGGCCGAGGGCGCGGGGGGTGCGAGGCGAGTCGGGGGAAGAAAACCTTGACTTTTCCCCTGTCGGTGTGGGCCAGGCGTGCTTTTCCCTAGCGCCGGAGCCCCCAGCGCGCCGGGTTCGGCCTGTGACCGCCGAGCGGAAAAAATGTCCGAACCGGCGATATTGGGCGTCCTGGGGGCGCGACTGGGCCATTTTTTCATCGTCGGCGCCGAAAAAGTGGCCTGGGGGGCCTTTTGGGGGCGCGGATGGAGATGCCCTTAGATCCTTAACTGACCTCTGTTGTCCCACATTGTTTGAGCCCACTCCAACCTTTTGTTTTTCCACACTTCATTGTCAAATGTCTCCACACCATGGCCGGAGCTGACCACCTCATCAGTCGTCGCATATTCCTCATCTGGCACAAGTTCATCATAACCCCATTGTAGGATCCAGTTATGAATGATGCAACATGCAAGAATAATCTTAACTTGGGCAGGGTAAGGGTGGAATGGCTTCTGATCCAGGGTCTTAAACTTATTCTTCAAGGTTCAAATGCCTTCTCAACTGTAACTCTAAGGCTGGAGTGTCTGAGATTGAACAGTTCCTGAGAAGTCCTAGGATAGTTCCTACCAGATAACTCGTTCAGATGGTACTTAGTTTTCCTGAAGGATGGAAGAACACCTGCCCGGCATGCATAGCCAGCATCTTGTAGGTAGAACTTGTCATCGGGGATGTTGATGCCATCAGGTCTACTCATGTTGTCACTTAGAATGTTAGCATCATGTGTTGATCCTTCCCATCCAGCCAGCACATATGTGAACTTTAGATTGAAGTCAACAGCAGCAAGCACATTCTGACCTATGTAGTGCTTCCTCCCCCTGTATGCTGCAGATTGTGATCTTGGTACTCTGGCAGTGACAAGAGTACCATCTATTGCCCCAATGCAATCCTGAAATGGCATTATAAGATGGTGTTATGACTATAGCAGAACAATAACATCATATCAAGGCATGAACTGCATACTATCAATGCTCACCTTGAAGTATGGATACCATCTTGGGCTAGTGCGGATCTTGCTAGGAGTCCGGGCAGTTGGTGACCCGATCAACTCCTCTAAGTTCCCCAACAACATAGAGCACTTGCCTGAAGTACTTGAAAATGGTCCCCATTGATCTCCTGGACGTGTTGTGCATAACCCCGAACCTCTGGTTATGACCTACAACATGGAGGAACATGGCAACTTGCTCTTCCACAGTGGTGTGGATGTTATCTTGTAGCAGCCCCCTGCTCCTGAACATCTGCACAAGGTGCTCTTTTCATTCGAAGCATCCACAAAGCTTATAATCTTTGAAGTTGTAGATGTAATTCAGATTCTTATCTTCTTCCGATCCCGAATTAACATCGGACCATACCAGATGAGGGGCTTGTCATTCCGACGAACACTTCTCTTATCGACCAACATGATCCATGCATGAACCACAATTATGAGCGTTGTTGCATGAACTACAATCTTCATCCGTTCATCCAGAACCTAAGCGACATCCATGGTGCGGTCAGTAATGGCGCAATTGACCCTAAACGATCCTAACAAACAACCTAACAAAGGAGGAGGGTCTTATGCTGCTCACCAACTTTGCGGTCAGGGGGAGGAGGGGATGGCTGAGACGAGGATGGCCAGATGATGTCGAAGAAGAAGGGGAGAGGCCGCTTCCGCTTCCTCTAGTGCTGCCGGAGAGTGCTACTATCGCCGCCGCTTCCACAGATCTGAGTCGTCGCCACCACCAGTGCAAAGAAGAGAGGAACGCCTTGTCCTAGAGCAAGGGATGAGCGAGTAAATGGGGGGAGGGGATGAGAATATATTTCGCTCCATCTTGTCTCTATTGATTTCCTTCTCCCGCCATCTCCGGCCGAGTCCCCCCTGCACTTGCGCCCTACGCTGGGACCAATTTTTGCGCTCGAGTCAGCCTGACTCGCTGGAAACGGCCGATTCAAGCATTCCCAGCGAGCCAGACTCTGGGGTGCTTCGTATCATGCCGATGTGAACCAAGCCTCCTTGCATGCAACTAAACAGACATTTTTCAACTCGCCCGGGTCTGGTTGGGTTGTATGCAGTCAAAAATGCTACACTTACGTATGAGTTCTACGTAACTTTGCACACCTTCCTTCTCCACTAATCAAAACTCCCCATCCCCTCCACCCCCACCCCCCGCGGGGATTTTTAGGGTGGGCCCATGCGCCCCTGATGACTAATGATAGTCCTCCAAATCAGTAACATTACGTAAATAAATCACGTAGATATAGCATTGCTCGTGTGCAGCCTACCAACCGCACCCTAAGTTGGAAGGTATCTATTCCCAAAGCACCACAGTCATCAAAAGACTAGACACCCCTAAAGAAGGCCCCTCCCAATGCTCCACCTTGTACAGGTGCTAAGCATGTCATGTAGGCGAAAAATTTGATGTGGCAAGACAATTAAGAGGAGAGAGATTGATTTGATGACCTAGGAAGAACCAATGCCAAGCGCGTGAACCTAGACAAAATATTAAAATGGAGCAAGTTCATCAATGCATGAAAGAGTTTAGTACTAGCTAAGTCATTAAATGAAGGGAGCTTAGCAAACAAGTTAAGCACCTATGCATTGGGGACTACCATTGCTAAAGTATTTAATGCCCTTAGAGCAACTCGGGCGACCCATTTCATCCGCTGGCGTCCGTTTGGGTCGGCGCAGACACAAAAGTTGGCCCAACGCGCCGACCCAAATGGACGCGCATCCGCTTGGCGTCCGCCTGCCGACCCACTCCCGGCCCATTTTTGAGCCGAATTTGCATCGGCGCAGACATGAGACGGACGCACGCGCGCCAACTCCTCTCCCCGGGCGCGCCGGTCGGTGA